AAGAGGATCCTTGAGATAGGAGGTATGGATGCCTGCAACCCTGCCCATACACCAATGGAGGAGCGGCTGAGGTTGAGCAGGTAGAGCACGACTGCAGAAGTTGATCCTACCCAATACAGAAGATTGGTGGGCAGCTTGCGCTACTTGGTCCACACAAGACCTGACTTAGCCTTCTCAGTAGGCTTTGTCAGTCGATTCATGGAGAGGCCGACTGCAGAACACCAAGCTGTCATCAAGCGCATCCTGAGATATGTGGCTGGTACTCTGGAGTTTGGCCTGCACTACACTAAGGCTCCAGGGAGAGCAAGGTTTGTTGGGTACTGCGACAGTGACTTGGCTAGGGACACTGACACCAGCAAGAGCACTAGTGGCACCTTGTTCTTTCTGGGAAGCAATCTTGTGTGCTGGCAGTCAGTGAAGCAGAAGGTGGTGGCTCTATCTAGTTGTGAAGCTGAGTACATTGCCACTACCACAGCTGCAACACAAGCTATTTGGCTATCCAGGCTGCTGGCAGACCTCCTTGGAAGGAATGTGGAAGTGGTTGAACTGAAAGTTGATAGCAAGTCTGCACTTGCTCTAATCAAGTATCACTTCATCAGAAACTGCTTGGAAGATGGAAGTATCAGGGCTGATCATATATCCACCACTGATCAGCTGGCTGACATTCTAACCAAGTCTCTTGGAAGATCAAAATTTGAAGAGATGAGGGAAAGAATTGGGCTCAAGCAGATCACTTCCAAGGACCACAAGGCTAAAGGGGAGAATTGTCAGTAGTTAGCCTAGTGTTCATGTTTTCCAGTTACCTACTATAGCTATTTACTATTCACTGTTATGTAATTTTCAGGTTCCTTGGCAACCAAGTTGATCATGGTGCCTTGGCAACCAAGTAGGAATCAGCATCTGCTTTATGCAGTTAGAATATGCTAAGGAGTAGGTACACCACTTGCTTATATATGCAGTGGTTAGCATCTTCTTGTATCTAAGTTGTCATTGCAAATTCAATACAATCCAAGCGGCCTGTTGGCCAAGCTGCCCTCTGGCAGCCCCAATTCAACAACCAGCATTGCCAGAGTTAATGATGCAATGAGTCAAAAACACACTAAACAATGTTCCTATTGCTGGTACAAGGAACATATCATTTTTTTTACCTTAGTATCATTGATTGGTTAAACCCTAATTGATGCTTCTTTTTATTCTGTCAATGGAAAAATTACAAGGATCTAATGCCAGGATAGATAGTATTAATAAATTACATCTTGCATTTACAAATACAGAGTATGGTGATATGTGCTGTTCTTAGCTAATCTCTGATTGATAAAACGGATCTACCGCACTTAGACGATAGGGTGCTTGCTTAATGGGGTTGGGAAGTTTTAGAAAAGGAGTAGCTCGTGGTTACAGAATATGTTACTTCCTGATATGGTACTCCAAATGCTGCGGTGACAGGGAGAATGTGAGGAAGATCGTCGAGGTGGAGATGACCTAAACAAGATCAAGATCTTGGGGTAACAAGACTGCTGTCATGGACACTGAGAAGAAGCATCACGTTCTTCCATGGTTCCTCTTGGTGGTATAAAGAATTAACAGGTTTTTGAATGGCAGCTATTTTGAGGATACATACGCTACAGATACTTTGGACTCTTCAGGCAAAATGATTGTTCAGCCTATGCGGGTAAATCATCCCCTGCTTGCATCATCAGCGTTGTATTGTTCTATGCATACAGGCTCTCACATCTCAGTTCCTTTAGTTTTTGAGTAATTTGGGTTTGATATTTTCTTACCAGGCATTTGTGAAAGAAGAGGGGGGGGTGATATCATTAAGGAAGCTTAACCTGGGAGGGAATACAAAGCAAAGCACCTTGAGAAATGAACAATTGTGTGATCTTGTCAAAGGTAAGTTAATTTCTTTTAGCATAGTTTTATTACAGATAAGAAATTGCATTTCAATCTGCATAAAAAAAAGGGCGTACCCAGTGCAGAGAGCTCCCGCTCTGTGCGGGGTCTGGGGAAGGGTGTCAGTGGCAAGCCTTACCCTCGCCTGTGCAATGCGAGGAGACCACGACTCGAACCCGGGACCTTCCGGTCACAGGCGGTAAGACTCTACCGCTTGCACCAGGCCCGCCCTTCTGCATTTCAATCTGCATGAGCTTATGAAATAGAACAATTATTTTTACCCTTTTTGCTGCTCTGTCAGCCACATATTTTTATTGAAATGCAGGAGCACTGCTCAATCATATAAGAGTAGAAGCAATCATGAGTTTTTTTCATCAAAACAATTTTGATGGCATTTACTTTACTAAATGCTACCTTATTTTTGGGTAATTCTGATCAAACTCGAGATATATGTAAATGTTATATCCCTCTTTTGTTTATCTATAAATTTTACACAAATCAGTACACATTAATAATAATGTTCACTATACATCAATAGGTCAATATTATATTCCTTGTATATATGTTATAATCTATCCTGTACATCGATTCATGAGCTCTAAAGGTATTGTCTTGTCTGAGAATAAAAGGACTATAGATATTGAATAAACGTATTTTCTTTACCTTTCTCTTTCGGGTTTAAGATATGAATGTTACTACTGCCTTTGGTTCACTTACTAATAAATACTTGCCAAACAACTTCAATGAAGTAATCGCCATTAGCATATCTGGCTACAGAAACATCTAGCTATACTTAAACATGAACCCAGATTTTTCCCGCTTGAAGAGGATATCCGGGCAAGACAAAATATTGACATTTTTTTGTGGCTCCCATTGCAACGCTTTGGCATTTACCAATATAAACATAAGACTGAAGGTAATGTGCCAGTTTGAAACTGTCAGGGATGGTCACCGACTCATTAGGAGATTGGTCGGTAACTGACAAAACACTGCTGACTTTGAATTTGTTGGTATTGGACAGGTTTAGAAAATTTTCATATTTCTGAAAAGGTGTGGTTCATAAAGTTTTGCGATTGTATTAAAAATCAAGGAAATTACTATCTTATATCATTCCTTTAGCTAGAAGTGAACTCTTTGTGTACTTTTGACTTGTGGAATCACCTTGGTTGATAATGGATGTGCTCCCCGCTCCCATGCATGGGTTGCCTGGCTCATGAGTTTCCCCCTCAAGTTATTCTAGGCCTTTTCATGAGCACTTTTGCCCTAATTTCATAGGCGGCATTGAAAAACTAAGATGAAAAACATGGACACAGAGTATGAATAGCTCTAATCCATGCTTATATAGACAGCTGATACATATACATCAATTTTTTATCAAGGTTAAGTTGCATGTCTTCCTCAAGCTTTTTTTTTGAAAAAGATGGCAGGAGCTGTGCCTTTTAATTAAGAGGGGAAATGAGTTTTATGTCTTCCTCAAGCTTTGGCTACTCTGGTTTTCTCTTTGCTTGCTCTCTTAGAGTGGTCCATCTGCGTGGGGTCAACAGTACATCGTGGTATCAACGGTGCTTAATTCGATAATGAGCATAACTAATCTGAGGGTGTAACAATGAAGCATTGCTACCTTTTCTGAATTGAGCTATAGGGTAGGTAGACATGAATTTTGTGCCTGTACAAATCTTGCATGGTCATTAAACCACGGCACTCACATAGAGAGTTCAGTTTGGAATGTGTTTGTTGGATGGCTTGATTTTAATAAAGGCGAGAGTGAACTGAGAATATTTTCACCAACCATGAGCATTAATAAGCAACAAATATGATATTCCTTGTGATATTGAGGACCAGCAATGTTTGGTACTACCACATATCTGACGGGCAGGGTGGCGTGACTTCACAACCTTTTTTCTTTTTGCAACGAGACAAGCAGGGGCAGTATTTGACCCATTTGAAGACTGATGCCAACGAATGTTTGGAAGCTGTGAACAAGGACCAAAAGCAACCATAACACCATGCTGGAAGAAATTTCAAAATAGTTCTGGAGTTGGACATGGTTAATTTAACCAATTTTGTACATATTTAGTTAGTTATTGGTTGAAAGTTTCAAATTACCTTTGTATCAGATAACTGAACTTTAGATGCTTCACTGCACTTTATATCTGATAACCGAACTTTAGATGCTTCATTGCACTCTTAGTTCAGAGAATGGCAGTGCCATTTCTTCTCACTGTTATGAGCAAATTGATTTGATCATTGTCATATGAGAAAAATTTGTGAGCATGTGTGTCACGTATAGTTAAGTTATTTAAATGGACACGCACATTAGACTTGTGTACAATGCTTTAGCAATGTTCTCCCGCTGCAATGCACGGGCACTCACCTAGTAACAATGAAATATAAGTGATGACAAAGTACATATTGTAAGTGTCATTTACAATTAGAAAGCGGATCATCACACAATACATGGCTCCTAAAACGGAAGGGTACCTATCCTTCTGAAATTGCTCGCACAAATAAACAAAATCTTACAATTGCAAGCTGGAGCTGCCTCTTCTGGTTCCTTCGTGTTTACGAGATCAAATGCAATAGCCACGTTGATCATTCTGGTAGCAAACCAGCAGCATTCTCTTCTGTACTACGAGGGGCAAGACATGGATTTTTTTTTTACACAATTTATGGCTAAGCGGTGACAATTATTTTTCAAGTTAGATGCCTGCAGCCAGCATAGCACGAATAATGTCAACTTGAGTGCCACTTGATTTGTGAGTGGCTACGATCCATACAGGTTTCCGCTGTGTTCAATGCTGCCTGTCCATGTTGCAACACTGACTTCAGACTTGGCGCAGTCCTTTTCCCGTGCCATTTTCCAGGGGACGTTCTTCTAATTTGGATTCAAACTCATAGGGTGCAAGATAATAGGGTAGTAATAAATAAGACATCCTGTGTGTTTGTTTAAACTTGAATAGCAAATGACCTTTTCGCTTTTTAATTATGCAGAAATTGCTATTGCAGATGTTAGTATGTACAATAAGCTGTATATTATGTTCAGAAACATTTATGGATTCAAACATGTTAATCTATTGACGATATTAACATTTTTACGCGTGCCTTGGTTAGAGATTTCCCTTCCATTCCTTTGTGTCGCAGACCAGCAGCTAAAACAAAACGACACATTGCATTCCATTAGTTGTTCAGCTGACTCACCAATAAGGCCTTGTTTAGTTACTCCCAACTCCCAACTTTGACACTATGCAAAAAAGAAATTCCCCGTCACATCAAACTTGTGGTACATACATGAAGTACTAAATGTAGACGAAATCAAAAACTAATTGCACAGTTAGGTTGTACTTTGCGAGACGAACGTTTTGAGCCTAATTAGTCAACGATTGGACAATTATTACCAAATACAAATGAAATGCTAAGGTGCGCCTACTCGGATTAGCAGTGACGAGCATTGCTGCCCCCCCAAAGTCGCAGCTGGAAGGCACAGGGTTCCTCTGGTAATAAGTGTTGAAAGCATAGGACGCATGGGCTTGGATGGTATTCGGATAGTAGCAGCTCCCCGACGGCTGAATCGCCGAACAATCTGCTCCACCAATGCCGCACGCATAGTCCAACGCATTCTGGAGCGCGGGGTCACTTGAGCCAGCAGCCTTGACCACACACCAGACCTGCCGGCCTGATGCACCCGGAGCTGTGACTGTAGGAGCAGGAGTCGGTGTCGGGTTCGACACCGGTGGGTTGTTGAATGGTATTGGTGTGGACGGAGGGGACGTGGAAGGTGTGGTGACAGCAGGATTGGTGACCGGCACGGTAGGTGGGAAGCAGGTTGACGGCGTTGGCAGCGGATATATGACTGGAACCGGCGGCGGCATGGTGGAAGAAGGAGAAGGGATGTTTGTTGAGGGGGCTGTAATGGGCGTGGGCAGAGGGTTCAAGGAAGGGATGGTGATGGTGGGATTCGTGGAAGGCACGGTGATAGTGGTGGGCGTCGGGTTATTGGAGGGGACTGTCGCGATGGGGTTGGTGTCCTGAACCGGACTCAAGTCGTGCACGAGGACGGCTGGTTTACCTGCACAACACAGCACAGTGATTGTGCTTGAGTTCATCAGTTCAGTCTGACGAAGTAACACCAATTAATTAAGCCAAGGTTAACTAGTAGTAACTCTTATGTCCATCTATGAATTATCATGCACTTCTCCTATATCTCAAGGTGCCTCACTCTTTGTTGTTGTTCAGGCAACATGTAAGTTTATCATTGTTTGGCTATAGAATAGAAGGAAAAAATTGTGAATTGTCTCTTGTGAGTTGTCAATTGTACTAGTTGATTGTGAAGGATTATTGCCTGAATTTCTCCTGAAATATAGCAAGTCCCTTTATCCTGGCACCCCATTTCTGAAAAAAGAAAGAAAGGGAGAGAATGGATGCGTTCCCTTTACATTAATGTGACTATGTGAGTGGTAGTGGTAGCTTGCAGCCTGTTCTCCATTTCCAAACAAGAAATGAAATTTGTGAAGACAGGTAGAGAGATCACTGAAATGCCTGCAGCTGGAAGTGGTACTCCGCTAGCAGCAGCAATTCAGCAAACAAGTGACTGGCGTGGCCTAACTAAGATCTGCTCGCGGGGAAATTGGAGCAAACAGTTACTGGGCACTGTAGGCTCAATCTGGCTAAGCTCCCCCTGGCTCCTAGGAGGCTAGCAGCTAGCTACGCCATGGAGCGGGTAGGTTGGGATGGGATGGGAGCAGCAACTGAACCGAAGCAAGAAGCAAGAATCTACCTGGGAGGAAGCGGATTTGGAGGTACCTGCAGCAGCAGAGGCAGAGCAGCGTGGAAGCTCCCCGGCCTCAAAGGCGGAGAGGACGAGGAAGAGGAGCAGCGCCGCCGGCCTGGCCATGCTCCTTCCTTCTTCTCCAGCTCGCGGCCGCCACCGGTAAGCTCGGCCTGGCCCCCACCCTCTCCCTCCCTGCGGCGTCTGCGGGAAGGGTCAGTCAGTGTGTGAGCGTTTTTTGCGGCTCGAGGGAGGGAGAACAGGGAAGGTGGGGAAGGCGACAACAAAAGGTTGAGAGTGGAGTGGAGGCAGACTGTGCGGTGCAGTGCGGCTGCCGAGCCGAAAGCGCAAGAGAGAGAAAGAGACGATTCAGCAAACAGTACACCACCAAAAGACATCCTCCCTCTGTATATATCTCTCACAACTTAAAAAAAAAAAGTAAAGAGAAAACACTGTTTTTGTGCGACATTCCAACATAAGTCTACGATTCTGCCTGCTATGGTCCCACACCTCTCGCTCCTACACCCGTCCCTTGCGACAAACCTCGCTCCCTTGATTTCAAAAGAAGGAAACAAACCGTGCGTCCCTCGCGCTCTCTTCCCCTCCGGCTCCCCCGCGCAACATGCAAGGAAATCCATGGACAACAAGGCAAGTCAAATCATCAATCACGTAACAACCAGATGAAAAAAAATCAATCACCCTAACAAACGGAGGAGTAGCTCCACGGAATTAACCCCGTGATCACCGCGCGCCGCCAATTACGCGATCGCGCCTTGACCCGCGCCCTTGACGCCCTCGGTCCCTCGTCCATCGCCAGTCGCAGCTCTACCTCAGTCCCTCGTCATCTCGCCATACTGACCGCCTACGCCACCACATCCTTGTTTCCAACGCATCGTGACTCGTGAGCCGGCGTCGAACCCCGCCGTCCAACCTAGCGCGTTTTCGTTCCTCCGTGCGTCGCCGGCATCGATTTGGCGGGAACGCTAGCGGCGGCCTCCGTCCATCGGCGATGGGCGGCCTCTGCTCCAAGGAGGGCGTCGTGGAGGCGCCGCCTGCCGCCCCGCACCCCGTGGCGCACCTGCAGAAGGCGTCAAGCCGGTCCCTCAAGCAGCTCATCACGCTCACCGCCAAAGAGGAGGACGCTGTCGTCGTGCACGCCGTCATCTCTCGGATGGAGTCCAACGCTAAGGCCAACGGCGGCATCGTCGCGCCCGCTCCGGGCAAAGAGGCCGTGGAGAAGACCGCGCCTCCCGTGGTGGTCATCATGTCCCTCAGCAAGTCCTACAGCCCCGTGGGGGCGCCCACGCACCACCGGTGCGCCACAGTGGACATCGGCGGGAACAACAACAGTGCGACCGCGGACTGCGGCGGCGGCGCGCAGGCGCAGCAGGTGATCTCCAGCGTGCCACAGGGGTTCTCCGGCGAGCACGTCATCGTCGGATGGCCCTCCTGGCTGACGTCCGTCGCTGAAGAGATCGTGAGGGTGGCTGCCCCACCGTGCCGACACGTTCGAGCGACTGGACAAGATCGGGCAGGGCACCTACAACAACGTGTACAAGGCGCGGGAACCTGCAGAGCGGCAAGATCGTGGCGCTGAAGCGGGTGCGCTTCGTTGACATGGACCCAGAGAGCGTGCGGTTCATGGCGCGGGACTGCGGGAGATCCACATCCTCCGACGGCTGGACCACCCCAACGTGATCAAGCTGGAAGGCATCGTCACCTCGCACCTCTCGCACGGCCTCTACCTCGTCTTCGAGTACATGGAGCACGACCTCACCGGCCTCGCCGCGCTGTCCGGGCAGCGCTTCACGGAGCCGCAGGTCAAGTGCTTCATGCGCCAGATCCTCGAGGGCCTGCGCCACTGCCACGCGCGTGGAGTCCTGCACCGGTACATCAAGGGCTCCAACCTCCTCAAGTCCTCATCGGCGACAACGGTGTGCTCCGGATCTCCGACTTCGGGCTCGCCAGTCGCCACCTTCTTCGACCCCGGCAAGACGCAGCCCTTGACCAGCCGCGTCGTCACGCTCTGGTACCGCCCGTCGGAGCTCCTGCTCGGCCCCACCGAGTACCGCGTCGCGGTGGACCTGAGGAGCACCGGCTGCATCCTCGCCGAGCTGCTCGCGGGCAAGCCCATCATGCCCGGCCAGACCGAGATCGAGCAGCTGCACAGGATCTTCAAGCTCTGCGGCTCGCTGTCCGAGGACTACTTGGCGACAGCGGCCGTACCGGACTACGTGACGCTCTTCAAGCCACAGCGGCCGTACCGGCGCAAGATCGCCGAGACGTTCAAGGACTTTCCCCCCACTGCCCTGGCGCTCCTGGACACGCTGCTCGCCATCGAGCCGTCGGCACGGGGCACGGTGGCCTGGACAGCGAGGACCAAGCCGCTGCCGTGTGATCAGGCGAGCCTGCCCAAGTACCCCCGCCCTGCAAGGAATACGACGCCAAGCTCCGAGGCCAGGAGACCAGCAGGCAAAACACAGCGGGCATCGGAGGCAAGGGCTCTGTATCCGTCAGTTCGGGAAGAGACGACTCCAAGGGCACCGCGCCAGCTCAGGACCTCGCCATTGCGCGCCAACCAGAAGAGCACCAGCCACCACTACAGCTCGCTGGAAGACAGCGTGCACGGGCCGGTGACACTGCACACCAGCGGCGGCTTCGGGACGACGTGGTACAACAGGAGCGACCAGCGGGTGGTCCCGCGCGCGTCCAGCTCCGTCAGGGCGTACGTGGACGAAATATGGCCGGCAGTCTACTAAGGGGTATGACCATGGTAAAAATAAATCGGTGGAGGTGCGCGTAATACGAACTAGATGGTAACAGAGACACAAGACACAAGATTTATACATGTTCAGGCCGTCAGCATGACGTAAAACCCTATATTCTATGCTCTGTTATTTTGTATTGATTGTGTATCAGATTCGATATATCGTCTAGGAGACCCCTGCGCCTCCTTATATATTCTGGAGGGGTATGGTTACAAGAAAAATACCCTATTTGGTATTACAATATCTTTTTGTAGCCTTGCGGTGCATGTCGACCAGTACCGTGCGCCACACGCCTTGATCTTGTGGGTTGGACCACTTCTGATGGTGCGGTCCATGTCTTGTCATGTGGATACCGATGATCATACCCCCCACAGCTAGTCCCCGAACGCCTTATATCCGCTTGGCGACGCCGTCTTGATCAAGTCCGAGGAGTTTATCATGAAGACGAGCGGTGAAGATTAAAGCCGATCATTTTGACTGATAATCTGAGCGGTGAAGATTAAAGCAAACTGGTCGGTAGGCCTCGGACTTGCACGAGTAAGGCTTGCCAGAAGGATGTAAGGGGCTCCAGATAAAATTTGAAAATTCTTCACCTTAGGTGAAGTATAGCCACTTAGACTCCTTAGTCAATAAGAAAGGTAAATCAGAAAAAAGCACTACATTCACCGTCAGATGAAGTGTAGCCACGTAGTCCCCAGCCTACTGAAAGGTCCACAAACCAACATTCAGGCCATCAAGGTATCATCAGTAAAACTCGCATCTCTATTTTCTATGCAGCCAAAAAAAAAATATCAAGCTTCTACAAACTGGTTTCTCAGAATGACACTGACAGAGCACCTGACCAACGAAAAATGATACGTTGATCATTAGGGCGTACGTCTCAGTGTTAGTTCAGCAGCGTTCCTTCTTCATCCTTTGATACAATTCAACAGCATTTTCGAAACATCTTGCTTTCAGTACACCATCCAGGCATGCGTTATATATAGTTGCAGCTACAAGAGAGTTCTTGGTATGATTTTTTTTCCTTTAATTATTGACGTTCGCTGGTCTGAAACTTGGCTGAAACTGACTGGTTTTATGAGAGAAACCCTGTAGCAGCTGGTTGATGAACTGTGCACCTGTGAGGAGAAGCAGCCGGCTGGTCTGGTTTTTTCAGACCAGCGAACGCACCCTTTAAGGAGTGCCCTGACTGAGCTGATCTCTGCACTTTTACTCTGTAGATTATTAGATTGTTAACTGTTGATGTTTTCTCTGTTCCGTCATTCTCATGAGTATGGGTATACTGATAGCCCAGCTGAAAAGAATTGTAGTTTCCTTTTAAATTTTGTGGGGGGTGGCGTGCCGACGGGAGGTGCGGGGCGGTGGTAGTTGGCTGAGAGGGCACGATGGGGCGGCGGAGAAGAAAGCGAGATCATGGTGCGCGAGCCGCGAGATCCCGGGGATGGGAGCCACCGGATAAGGAAAAGGAGAAATAAATAATAAAATATAAAAGAAGAAAAAGGAAAGAAAAAAATGGAAGCACGAGTTTTTTTGTGTGTGTTTCCTTTTAGCTTTGTTCTACTAAACTTCCGCCCGTCACTTTGGTATACAGTTCGTTTGCCAGCTAATTTTACTAAGAGTTAGTAATATATGATGAATTAGAGATTAAAATCTTAATTATTTAATTGTCTTGTACTTTTTTTGATATGAAAAAAAATGTCTTGTACTTGTGAGCCGTACTTATGCGAATTGGACAGCGTATATCCAACCAACCTATATAGTCTGATTCTAAAATGCATTAGAACGATGACGCAAGATATAAACACCGAGCGACCGGATAAGGAAAATGAGAAATAAATAATAAAATATAAAAGAAGAAAAAAGAAAAAAAATGAAATCACGAGCTTTTTTTTGTGTGTTTCCTTTTAGATTTGTCTGTCTACTAACTTCCGCCCGTCACTTTGGTATACAGTTCGTTTGCCAGCTAATTTTACTTAGAGTCAGGGCCTGTTTAGCACAACTCAGCTTTATTAGTAAAGATGGTTTTTTTGGAAAACAGCTTCATGAATAACTTTTTAGGTGAAGCTGAACTGTTTTGAAAAAATTATTTGGTAAAACAGCTTTACTAATAGCTTCATGCATAGATAGGAGAGAGAAATGAGGAAAAGAGCTGGGATAAGCTACTTATTTTAGCTTTATCCTAACTCATGTCTTTGTGAGAGGGGGAGAAAAACAGCTTTATGGGTGAAACTGTTTTAAAAATGAGTGTTTATCAAATAAAACAGCTCATGAAGCTATTGCGAGCTGTGCCAAACATGCCCTTAGTATATATGATGAATTAGAGATTAAAATGTTAACTATTTAAGTGTCTTGTACTTTTTTTTTGAGACAATTTTTTTTTTGTCTTGTACTCATGCGAATTGGATAGCGTATGTCCAACCAACCTATGTAGTCTGATTCTAAAATGCATTAGAACGATGACACAAGCTATAAACCCCGTTGTGACGCACGAGCATTCAGGGATTGACAATATGAGTATGAAATATGAGCAACACGTGTCTAACTATGATATAGAATAGAATCGCACAATTAATTGAAATACATGATGTGATCATTAGTTCTTTATATACTATAAATTATTTAGGACCATTTAAGACGTGCGTCCCGTTATAAAGCACGGGCAATTTTATTAGTGAAAGCCAAAAAGGCTGCGACGTTGAATTATTTATTTTTTCTTTTTTTGCGAGGAAACGTGAATTAGAGCTGACTACAACAAACTACGACGATGACCCCTGTCGCTTGGGCGCAAGGGCATCATTGCTCTACCCAGGATTCCACGTGGTTGAGCACGCTATCTGCTATCAGAATGAATGTACTATATAGTATTTCTTTTGCGACGAAAAATATATATAGTATTCCCTCAGTCTAAAGAAACAGATAGAGTCAATCAATCTTAAGTTTAATCATATATATAATATATAAGTATGATAATATTTATAATGAGAGGAATTAAGTATTATTAGTTTAATCGTGAAATATATTTTATGATAAATCTATTTAGAGGTATAAATGTTGATAGCATTTTTGTAAATAATTCAAATTTTATATGGGTATAAACGAATGATATAAAGAATGTTCTGATCGAGAGAAGGTAACAACAGACAAGCTTCACACCCCCTTTAAATTTGGGGGGCTGTACGTCATTTGGTTGGTAAGAAACTACTAAAAATTATTATTTACAGGAAAAACATAGGAGACTTTTCTTTGCATTTCCTGCCGCTTATCAAACATATATTCCAACAAAACTCCTGTGCTTTCTTCTGTTTTGTATGTAATAATTCTATCATATATTCCTGCTTTTTTTCTCCTATTGATGTGTTGTTTTTATAATGTATTTCACTTTTCAAAGGGGCCCTTGTGGAGAACACTATTTTCATAATTCTAGAGACAGTCCTGTTCTGCTGCACCACTTCAGTAATACTTTTCAGCGAACGGACACTGTTTTCCTCTCACAATATTTCAGCATAAGCACGCTCTTGAAAAAAAAGGCATTTCAACATAAACATCAGCAAAAGCCAAATTTCAGCGAAACGAACAGGGTACAAAAAGATGGTTTCCCGTGTTTATAGCATTCAAAGGATGGCATGGAATGGGACAAATACATCTTGGGCCACTTAACACCTACACCCATTCAAGAGATTTGGTGATGTGGTGCTGTCCACCTAGGCCTGACTGCTCCACCTTGTTCCAGCAGGCAGCAGCCTACTCCACCATGGTCTTTGCTACGGCCAGCCCGCTTTTTATTTTTATTTTTAACACTTTTTGTAAACTAATTTTAAATCTAATACTGTTTTTTTTTTCAAAATTAATACTTTTGACCGCATCTATTGCCATGGCGCGGCGAAACGCCTGTGCTGCGCCATGCATGGTGGCACGGTAGGAGGATGACGTGGCGACGACTGGGGCTGCTGACCGGTTACGTGGCAGGGTCTGCCACGCCACCAATCTTGGCGTGGCAGGACCAGATAAATATCGCGAGCGAGCCCGCCCGCCCGCCCACACGCCGCTCAGCGCCCGCCCACCCACACGCCGCGCAGCGCCCGCACGCCCACCGCCGCGTAGCGCCCCACCGCCCCGATGGCCGCCCGCACGCGCCCCGCCCACTCCCGCCGCGCAACGCCCGCGCCGGCCACGCCACGAACGCCGGCGTGTCACGGCCGCCGGCCGCCCGCTCATATCAAGGTAGCTCCTTCTCGATTTCATGTTATTATGATTGTTATTGAATTAGGATAATTAGTGATTTAGGATAGTTAGGTTAGTGATTTAGGATAGTTAGCGATTTAGGATAGTTAGGGTTTTATGATTGTTATTGACTTAGGATAGTTAGTGATTTAGGATAGTTAGAATAGTTAGTGATTTAGTATAGTTAGTGATTTAGGATAGTTAGGGTTAGTGATTTAGGATAGTTAGGTTAGTGAATTTGTTTATTTAGGTAGGTAGTTTTTAGGTTTAAGGTCGTGTGTTGTAGTATAGTTAAGATTTGGTTAGGTAGTTAGGGTTTAGGTTACTGTGAGTTAGGATGTTGGGTTTAGGGATTGATTAGGTATTTATTATTTAGTTTATAGTTAGTTATTTAGTTAGGAATTTTGGGTATAGATACTAGTTTTCAAGTGTCGGTACTTAGTAGTGCGTGATACGTCGATTTGGATGACTTGATGAAGTTTCGTCAAATGCTTATTTTTCTAATGAAGTTGTTTAATATGTCTGTTAATGTTACTTTGAATATATACATGTGCTTTCATATTGTGTTCGTATTACATAACAAGCAGTTCAAATTTTGCAATGCTACGTAATGTTAATTTGAATATTGTTAATTTGAATACTCTGACCCTTTGTTTATCAATTTGTAACAGGATGGCCCCTCCCACGCAGCAACCGTTGTTTCCCCTTCTCAAGTTAAAATACGACGACCAGCACCGAGCACACATCTTCAGTGACACCGACGCAGAGGTGGCCTTGCCTCCTTTGAGGCCCCGCACACACACCAGGGCGCACCAGTGGGACGAGCGTTACGCGCCGTATATACGGCGTGCCGGTTTCCTCGAGCTTGTCTGTGTTATCAACTACGGTCTTCCTCCCCTTGACCCAGCACTACTTACTGCAGCTGTAGACAGGTGCGAGTGCCTTCTTTGTACGTAAACATTCTTATAATAAATTTGAGGCAACTAACAGTCATTCTATTCTTATAGCAGGTGGAGGCCTGAGACCCACAGGTTCCACCTACCTTGCGGCGAGATGACCTTGACCATGCAGGACGTGAAGGCTATGTTTGGCCTTCGGTTGGGGGGACTTCCAATGACAAGTATAGTTGACAACGATCACTGGAGGGAGCTGGTGGCTCAGTTCACTGGCTTTCTTCCACCGGACGATGAGGTTTCCAAGAAAAATAAGTGAGCAATTCAAGCCTATTTAATACTTGCATTTCTTTCCTGTAGCCATCGGGTCTCATTTTCTCTGGTGAATTTCAGGAAAAGTTCTAGAGTTTCGTCGTCGTGGATCACAGAGCGTTTTGATTACTTTGATCCACAGGCTGATGAGGCTCAGATCGATAGGTTCGCTAGAGTGTGGCTCTGGCACTTCCTTGGTGCTTTTCTCTTCCCAGACACCTCGGGGAACACCATCAGCTGGATCTTCCTTGACATACTACGCCAGCCGTGGAAGAACATAGCGGCGTACAGCTAGGGCAGCGCAGTGCGTACACCACCACATCATAGCGCTGGGAAGGACCCTGCAAGCAAGGACGACGAGGACGACTATGACGATGACCCCCCGGGCTTCCGCAGACAGCACCACCAGTGGGACCCTTGGTCGTAGGATGAGATCGGCATGTCTCAGCTAGGTGGTGCCCCGCTTGGTACCCAAAGAGCCTCACAGGTAGTAACAAAGGTAGCTTCTTTAAATACGTAGGCTCCATGAACTAACGATCATTAATATTATAAGTAATCGTGCATATCATATACTTACAGGGTACGAGCCGTACGCACCGGCAACGCGACCACGCCGACGTTGGCTACCCTCCCAATGTGTTGCCAACAAATTCAAAGAGACAGAGGTGTCCCATGGATCCTTACACTCCTGGGTCTTAGTTTGTTAGGTCGAACGAATATTGTCGTCCGAAACTTGCAGGCTTAGTTGGTTATGTTATGTTATGTCGAACCAATAAAAATGTTATGTGTCAGCTTGTCAACTTGCGCACGGACTTCATTTATTTGCTTCATATTCGTTTCAATGC